GCCCTCAGAATAGCTAGTTCAAACCCAGATGTCATAGGGCTGACAGAGACGTGGGCATTTTATAGGGTTTGCTGTTAGTTTAGCATTGACCTTCACACGAACCAGCATTGCTGCTTCTCAAAGATCTTCTGAGCGTTTGTGCTGCTGTTTATGATCCGAGTGAGTTCGGTATGTGCTTGTGGTGTGAAGGTAGCACACTGGAATGCTTTACCTTGGGCCCTGCTCGTCTGTTAGATAATTTTGCAAGACTATAAACGGGATGAACTGGGGTCATGGTTAGCATGGTTGACACTCTCATGGGGTGTTGAATATGAACCTGGAGGAGGAATGGTTGGGGTGCTGCAGTGAAGTCTTCCTACTCCTGTAGCAGCTTGGCCAGCGCATACAACAGCTGGGACATCCCAGAGTAATTCTAGTGAAAATAAGTGCCAAGTCTATGACACCTCTGGGTTGCCCTACCTGTTTCCATCTTTGAAAAATTGTCCCTAAACCTTTTTCTTTTTGAACTTTCCTTTCATTACAATAGCTTTTCATTCCCCCCCCCCCCCCCCCCCCCTCTCTCTCTCTCTCTCTTCCCATCCTTTGCTCTTGTGGTAGGTGATGCTTAGTCCAGCCATGCAAGGTGTGATCCTGGCTATTGCCAAAGCCCGTCAGACCTTTGACCGGGATGGGTCTGAAGCGGGGCTTGTTAAGGTATCTTTTTCTCTCTCTTAAATCTTAGCACGCATGTTTTTGCATTTTGACTGGAAAACATGTATTCTGCTTCAGCAAGTCACAAGTATGAATTGGCAACCTTCTCTTCAGGTGTTTGCCTTCAGTTTTTTTTTTCCCCCCCTTGCACATGTCTTGCCTGTGCCACTCACCGCAGTGTTATTTTGAGGGCTAATATCAAAAAGCAATAATCAGGAGGAAACCAACATATTTTGTAAGCGTGTTCACCTGTGTGTTACAAGTAATACCTTAGACTGTAAGAATAGAAAGTCTTCCCAGAAGTGATTTACTATTACTTCGTTTTATGTTGCTCAAATCAGTCAATGAAAATAGATTCAATTTACTCCATGTCCAATCCCCTTCTGAGTTTCCTGCATGAAAAGGCATGGGATGTTTTTGTTGAAAATCCAAATTTGGAGTTTTCCAGGAAAAGAAGAAATATGTCTCATGGCTCTGGGTATCAAAGAATGCTAGGTTCTTCCCCCAAATCTGGCATTGTGTGTGTGAATAGCCCCCAAATACATGTATGCCTAACCAAAATGTATGTGAGGGTTTTGCACGTGAGCAGTGGATCCTGCTTTTGCCAACACAGGTATTTAGCTGTACTCGCATTAGAGGTCCTACTTAAGTCTGTGTGTCCTGAGTAAAATTTAGTGTAAGCAAGTTTGCTATCATCTGGTAGCTGGAGCCAAAAGTTGAGCATCTGTTTTCAGCTCAGGTCCAGCAGTGGCTTGCTGTGGGACCCTGGCCAATTCACTCTTGCTCTCCCCATGTGCAAAAGACTATTTGCTTTCAATGCCTCACCGCTGTAACTCACATCTGCAAAGCACTTGAGGTCCTGTGAGAAGTGTGGTCTAAGTGCTCAGTATAATTAGCATGAATCAAAATTAGCTCAGGTGTGATTAGTAACTAACTCTGCATGTTATTTCTAGGGATCTCTGTAAAATGGGTCCCCATAAATCTTTTTGCATTAATTAGGAGGGACTTGAGCTAATAAACATTCCTGAACAGAGGACCTGGTGTTAGCAACAGAAATCCAATAGGAGGAGGCTGCAGGAAAATCTACCTGTCTCATTGCCCTCAACAGGCATATATGACCCTAATGCTTTCCCTACAAGTACTCAGCTGTAAGTGGAGAGAGCCCCGAATGGTTTGGATGCCTTTTAAAGCCCTCTCCTTCATGTTCATGTAGCTTAGTGATGGTAAGTCTTTACAGGGTACTTGCCACTATGAGTTCATAGCTCTCCTTGCACTTGCTAGAGAGACTTCGCCTCCGTGAATCTTGGCACGGACCAGGGCAGGCATAAGCTTAGAAGAAACTTTCCAGCTGCAGAGCCCCTAGTCAGCTTGTGTGCTAAGGGTGAATTGGGCCTTTAGCTTTCCTTTGGCTTTGGCAGGCCTTCCGGGAAGAGTATTCCAGACTGTATCTACTGGCCAAAGAGACCCCAACACCTCAGAGCGACCCCCGGTTGCAGCATGTGCTTGTCTACTTCCTGCAGAACAACGCTCCCAAGCGGGTGGTGGAGCGGACGCTGCTGGAGCAGTTTGCAGACAAGAACCTCAGCTACGATGAACGGTTCGTACCAGCAGACCTGATGCTGTCTTTGGGACTCGGTGTTCCCTAGCCTTAGTGCTCTAATCCTTCTGTCTCTGAGCAGGTCCATTAGTATTATGAAGGTAGCACGGGCTAAGCTGAAGGAGATTGGCCCTGATGATGTGGATATGGAAGAGTACAAGGTAAGAGACTAGGTATAGCTTTCTCTTCTCTCTAATGTCTTTGTACCAAAAGTGCCCTAGCGCAGTGCGCAGGAGATGACAAGCACAGTGCAAGCAGACAGCATTGTTGTTCCCCATTGGTAAACCCCTTCCTCCTTGAAGCATTAGGACCTGGCTTCTTGAGACAGGCAAGTGCTGGCAGGGATATTTGATTTGTCCAGCTCCATTATCAGAAGTTCTGCAGTACATATTTCTGCAGCAGCCAGCAGACGTGGTCCAATTTGGAGCCACGTGGCTAGCTTCTCACATCTGGCAAAGCAGCATCACTGAGCGGCAGAAGTCAAGGTTGCTCCATGGGTGGGGGTTGCAGGGCGGTAATTCTGGGCCCCAAAGGGGAAGCCGAACAGTGCCAGAAACCTGATGACCGTGGTTTGTTATGGGAGGTTGAAACAGAGCCAGTAAATTGGGAGCTTGCATTGAGCTGGTGTGAGCTCATGTACCACATATTAAGAGAGATCTTGGCATAGACTTGAATGGGCTTTGCACTGCCCTCCCCCAAAGCCAAGATGAGCATGGGTCGCATATGTGGGGCGCTCTGTAACTTACCTACGGTTCTCTAATTGGACCATGAGAAGAAGGACCCTGAGTCTAGGGTAAAAACAAATGCATACTCAGCCTGTGGCAAAGAGCTGGCAGCTAGATGCATGTATGAAAGCACACTTCATCTGTGATGTTTCTTTTTTTCCGTCTGAACAGAAATGGCATGAAGACTACAGCTTATTTCGCAAGGTGTCTGTTTATCTGCTGACGGGGTTGGAGCTCTACCAGAATAGGAAGTAGGTTGCTCTTTTATATATTTTTTGATGCCCTTTGTGCCTGATGCACTGATGCCCCTTTCTGTACTGCTGCAAAGCCAACCTTGAACCATAGTACATCTGTAAATAAAGCTGTATGTGGAAAAGCAGTTCCGTTTCATGAGGGGTGTCGGTAGTGCACAGTTCAGATCCAGACAAAACCCCACCACTGTAAAGGCCCGGGTGAAGGGGAACGTGGCTCTGACTTTGCAGGCATTCATTCAGAAGTGCAACAAGTGTCCGTGGGCCCTGGCCTAGGTTGAGATAGAGCCTTGTTGACATCGAACCCAAATGTTTAGGTGCTGAATTTTCAAATTTTCGCTAACTGTTGTTTACTTGAAAGATTTCTGACTGGCTCTGGTTATAGGAAGCTAGGAGAACCTGAAAATGCTGTTCTCAGCTTCTGTCAGGCCTCTTTGTCTCCAAATGCCAGTGGAAACTAGGAGAGACAGCTACATCTACTCTAAAAATTACAGTTGGAGTTAACTGGAAGTTTTGTCTGTTGGGTCCGACACTGGCCCATCTCTGGGAGGAAGTGGGTGGTCTTTCCCAGGCAACCGACTGGTGTGCAGAGGTAGGACCATGATGACGGTGGTGGGGTGGCTGGCAGCTGACACTTCCCTCCTTCTAAAAGGTACCAGGAAGCGCTGACCTACTTGGTGTACGCCTACCAAAGTAACACCACCCTGCTGAGGAAAGGGCCTAACCGGGGAGCAGACGAATCACTGATTGCTTTGTACAGAAGAAAATGCCTGCTGGTTTGTATTGATGAGTCCTAGCCTCAAAGCAAGTGATTTCAGGGCCGGCCTGAACTGCCCCAAGCCTTGTCGCTGCATGGTTCAGTTCACGTCTCCACAGGGTGCCCAATGGGTTGAATCCTCTTGCACCCCCTTCCACACACGGTACCAGTGCTTGTCCTTAGGATGTTCTTTCAGTGAGGATGTGAATGCTGTTGGTGTGCACACTTTGTTAGGAACAATAGCCTGTGGTCTTCCCTCCCCTTGAGTATCCAGCCTTGTCCCCTTCTTTGTGCCAGTGATCTTCTTGGCCTCCTGTTATTGAGCACAGTGTGGCATGGCTCGTCTTGGGGAGTGGAATAGATGACATTAGACTCAAATTTATCTTTTGTTCCTGTTTCACTGTGACTTCTGAATCCAGAGTAACTCTATCTGTAGCGGCCATAACAACAGCAGCTGTCCCCACATCATGCTGATGTGAATACAAAAATCTAGGGAGTGAACTCCAATGAGAGGATTCATAGTTTAGCTCTTAAGGCATCCACTGTGTGGTGGTGGTTCTCCATTTGGCCTCTCAAGGCCAGAATTATTTGCATGTCTTAGACAGTTCTGGAGCAGCTTGTTCTCTAATGTGATCTCTCCTGATGCATGCATGCAGCTCGGGTTGGTCCCGTTGTATTCCCCCTATGCCCAAAAAGTGGCAGAGAGGGCAGGTTGTGAATAGTTTTCCCAGTAGCCCATTGACTCGGGAAAGTCAGCGCTTTCTTTATCAAATGCTTTTCATGCCTGGTTTTCCCCACAGAAGCTGAACGATGTGGCGGCAGCTCTCTTTATAAGCAGCGATGAGGCGCACGTGGCAGAGGGCGTTAGCATCCTGAATGAGCTGATCATCCCCTGCATGCACCTCATCATCAACAACGACATCTCGCAGGATGACCTGGACGCCATTGAGATCATGAGAAACCGCTGGTGTTCTTACCTGGGACAAGAAGACATGAACGGTAGCATGCCAATCACTTGTTTTCATCTCCAGCCCCCTGTGTTCTGGCTGGGTCCTGCATCTGAACTAGAAAAAGACTTCACTGGCCATTTAAAACACTCCCTGTGTCATTCTTAGTATTTGCATGCTGTACTGTGTAAAACTGTCTGCTCCTATTGCCCGCGAATGGTGTGGTGGAATAGTGTGATTGGGGCTTGTCCTTAAGCTACAGGAAGTATTTCCTGCGTGTTGAATGTTTTTGAATTAGGAGACAGATACCTCAGTCTCTTCTTGCTCTTTTTATCATCCTGAGTTTCCACCTTCCCAGCCAGCAGATTTTCTTGGTCTCTCTTGTGTGCTGGCCTGGAAGAGGAGAGAACATCTGGGTGCCTCTTTACTTCTCAAGCATGTGATATCGGATGCACTCTGATGTTACACTGTGATAGGGACACTACCAATCACTTTTTTCTTACAGCCCAGAGCTTCATAACTACCCATCAGTTTGTATTGCGCTCTACTTTCCCAAAAGGTGTTGAGGAATGGATGAGAGCAGCTCGCTGTCCAGCTTGGAAAATCAGGGTCCTGGATTGCTAGAGAGATGATGGCTTTTTCTGCATCTGTGTTTCAGTACTGGATGCCTGGTTTGCTCCAGGTTTTGTTTTTGTATGATAAAATTAAGTCTCCCTGATTTCTTCTCAGCTTGAGTGGGAGGCCTGGCTGGAGGCTCTCAACACTGCTCTCTTCTACCAGCAGAGGGTAAACTTGCCACAACAGAAAGAGGAGTTTTGTTCTCCAAATGTAGAGCAGGGAAGCTGAAAAGATTGGCTAGCAGCGTCACTTCCCCGGGTCTGGCCTTACTGTACCTGCAGTTGTTTTTTGGAAACCCAACTGGTGGTGAAGGAGATGTGGAAGGAGCAACACCTGCCTCTTTCTACCTCCATTGTGTTCTGTAGACCAACCGCGGAGTTGCCTTCCTCCTCGCATGGTTATGCTATGTACAAAATTTCTTGGGCAGTAAGTTGGGCGGTTGATACTTAGTCTTTCAGAAAAAAGAAAAGGGCATTATTTTTGGCACATTCACCTGGCGAATCTCAAGCCCTTCCAAGGTGTTGTCTGTCCAGGAGCAGAGCGCTGAGTCTGAAAGCTTTTGTTAGCATTGGATGTGCTAGGCCTGCTGCGGGGATGACCCGCCTGGTATGCCGGTGAGTGAATAGTGAGCTCACAGTTTGCTGTGCTTGCTAGCAGCTTGAGCTGGTTCTGTGATGGGGCACATCAATAACTTGAAGACTTTCTTTTTCAATTTGCTTCTCTCTGCCCAACCTCTGTTTCTGTGCCTGAACAGAAGAGTGTCGCTCTGGCTGTCCCAAAGCAGGTGGTTTTGGTTTTGCACTGTTTAAGAGTCATAGATTTGACTCGTTATCTGATGTTGGCGTTGGCACTGGTATATTGTAGCATAAAGGCACCCGTCATGGTCAACATGTGGGAGGTCCAGCCAGGTGCCCGACGAATCTGCGTGTGGCCAAGAAGTCCAACTTGAGAGTGACACAACTTGCTACAAGTTTCCAACATGCGAGTTGCTTGATTTTGTTTTGGCCAGGATGGGTTGGGTTGGGGCATGGCTTTTTTGGCCTGCCCTTTCTAGGGCCTTCCTAAGGAAGGCAAGCAGGCCACCCTGTAATAGGGCTGCTTGGGTACCTTGGCAGGTTCTTTGTGCCCCTTATGGAGTCCTGCGACCATCACACCAAGACCTTCGACACGTGCAGCTAGGCAAGAGTATGGAGGAGTGGAGGCTACCTTAGACCTACCATCTCCCCTTTACACCAGTAAGTGTCCAAAGCGAAGAGTCCAGAAGTCCAGTGCCTCTGCCAGAGAGCAACAGATGAGAGCTTCTGCTGACTGTCTAATGCCTCAGTGGGGCATGTTTCTATCAGGGTGGTGTCCCTTAGCCGTTTTCCAGCCAGGGAGACAGGTTACAGGGGTGGGCGGATGAGAATAGGATGGGATTCAACACTGACAAGTGCAAGGTGCTGCACCTGGGGAGGAAGAACCAGCACCATACCTACAGGCTGGGGAACTCCCTTCTCATCAGTGCAGAGGCAGAAAAGGATCTTGGAGTCATCATTGATGCCAAGATGAACATGGGCCGGCAGTGTGGGGA